AGGCAAACTAGAAATCTTTTAGTAAGTCACAGATCACTCTCACTGAGCTGGGTCTAGCTCCCTGGGTTGAGTTCCTCACTGACTGTGTGATCTAGTTTCTGATTTTACCACCAAGATTCTGTCTAGAACATCGGAAGGAACCTCAAGTGATAGCTGAACTTGGGATCCCTGTCCTCTGTCTGTCATGCTTTTCAGATATGACTTATACCTTGCTCCCAGAGCAAAATATGAATTTCAAACAAGCCATTGAAGATGTTTTGTTTTGTGTTACTTATTAATAAAATGAACTGTAAATATCATTAAACAGCAAGATGTACAAAATGTAGAACCTTAGACGCTAATTGCCTGAATTTCACATGATACTTTTGTTTCATTACCCAGGTCTCTTTAATAATTTATCCTCCAGCTATATTTCAGTTTTCTTTATCACTTTAACCATCTAATTCTTGTGTTTATACGTCTGCACATATACAAATGCAGTGTTTTAAAGGAAAATGTGGAGAGTGAGGCAAGAGGGTTATAAGTTTGAGACCATTGTGGGCAACACAGCAAGACTTCATTTCAAAAAAATTTCTTTCATATGCCTAAAGAATACACATATTATCCAGAATGCCTTGGACCCTGCCTGAAACTTTCAGCTGCTCTTGGCAGTTTCTGGGAAATTATTTAAACGTAGATTAAGAGCAGTTAATCAGCATGCAGATCCCACTTCTTAGATTAGTGTGGTATGTGCTAAAGCAGCAAAGAGGTAGCCCCATTGTGTGTGTGTATGTGTGTGTGTACACACATGTGCATGCATGTGTATGTCTGTGTGACAGTATGCAGAGTTTCACGATTGTTACCTTCATGCCTATTGAGGCAGATCGTATTCTGCCTTCAGTGTTTAGATTAACAAGTGAAACATGTATATAAATACTTCACGTTTTAGAATATGTGGAATTGTTGGATGAGAAGTGGAGAAATAGCCCCTTCAGTTGAAGGAGCTGTGGAAATTTAAGCCCCACATCTCAGGAGGCCATACTGAAGCACGAAGAAGACAGTAATTGTAAGTGGGTAATCTCCTTTATGGTGACACTAATTTGAGCCCCAGCTTAGACTACCAGTCATTTATCTTATGGTGCATTAACTGAAAAGAGACCTTATGATTATCTAAAAAAGGAAAGGCTAATGCCTGATACTTGCATCCCCATGCTTATAGTTTATGTGATCAGGATCCTAACAAGAGCGTGGTACATGCAGCAAGTGTCACTAATGTGTTTTATTTATAAGTACTCAGTCTTGTTTCGGTAGAAAAAACTTTATAGTGACTTAAAAAGATATAGAAAATGAAATTTAAAATTAGTAGGTGATTGGGACAGAGGGAAAATAACAAAGAGGAAATGAAAAAAGAAGATTGAGGTAGACTGTCTGGTATCAACATGGTGGGAATGGACCACTGATGTGGCCCCCAGGCAACCTAGGCAAACAAGGGTTTGTGATCAGATATATAGTTAACGGGGCTTTAAGATGAAGTGAGGGCTGGGGATTTATTTAGTTCAGTGGTGCTGCCGCCTGCCTCAAGTGTAAGGTCCTGAATTCGATCCCCAGTACCCCCCCAAAAAATGAAATGCGCTACTAACTCAGGAAAAGCCCAAGCGTTTGCTAGACGGGGCAGGTGGGCCAAGCTGTGAGCAGTGCACGGAGAGTGAGTTCGGCTGTAACAGTCACTGCTCGAGATTTAGCAGAGAGAGCTTCAGGCCATTATGGAAAAACGGAATGTGCTTGATGTCCCATTTTGCTAACTCCTAAATAGACTAAGCCACAGACTTCTGACTTCATTACTTTTTTCTTCTTTGTGGTATACAGTGTGTGATATTTCAAATGAAAATAGAACACAGACTTCTCAAAGTCTGCCTTAGAAATATGGTCCCTTGAGCTCTTGAGTTTTTGTGACTTTCTGTTGTGACAAGGATTATATTCACTAGATGGCAGTATCAACAGCCTTTTGGGAAGTTAAGTATGATCTTGATTCTCCAAGTACTGAAATGCATACAAGCTTGAAAACCATTTAATTGAGCACAGAGGCTCTTCTTTTCCACACCGTACACGAGGGTATTTTTCCATCCTTGGTCCCCTTTTGTTCAAGGCCAGGGAGAAAGTGCCACACACAGCGCTACAGCCGTTTCTGGATGGCACCAAGCAGCTCTTATTCACTCGGTGAGAATCTTCGAGCCGTGTGTTTGACTCTTGGTCTTTCAGGGGCTGTGGGGCTTCTGTGCTTCTTCTTTGGGAACTTTCAGGGCAAGAGTTGCAATCATTCGGGAACCAGCTGTGGGATAATGTTGTAGTGATAAGCTGCACAATTGTGTTTCAGTAAGTAGTGATAATTTTTAGACCCTCGGTGTCTGGTACATCTAGCATTAAAGCAGTGCAACCTGTTCAGGGAATGAAGCGGTTTTCTTTTTTCATGTAAGCTCTTTTCCCCATTTCTATCTTCATTATTTTCAAATCATAATAGGATTACATTAATGGTATTTGGTTGAATTTAGGACCTTTAGTGGGTCTTAGTACTTGAAAACTCCTGGAAAAACTGATCTTTGACCTACTCGTAGTGGTAATTTCTTATAGCAATGCTGATGGTGCTTTTAATGGGACGGTCTGTCTCTGTGTGGGACTGTTTTGTGTCTCACAGGTATTCTGCACCCATATCCCTCGCCCGTTAAAGGGCAGAAGTGACCTCAGACATGACTAACAGTAACACCCTGCACATTTCCACGGGCCTTAAGGGAGTGGCACTGCCACCCCCAGAGGTGGTAGAGTAATGGAGCCGTGGAATTTAATGCAAGTAGTATTTTAAAGAAATGTGTGTCAATCTACTTTATATATTTAAAATACCTCACACCTACAGCCCATCACCTGAAACTTCTACTCATCTGTATTGATGTATTTTGGTTCTGGTTAATTCTATGTAAACCCGGTTTTGTTGTTGTTTTGTTTTGTTTTGTTTTGGTACTGGGGATTGAATTTAGGATTTTGTGCATCAAAGCTGGTGGCAGAAACCCAGTTTTCACTTAGTACAAAATTGCAGGTGCGTACTTTTAGAATACACTTTTTATATGACCATGGCAAGTACTTTTCCTTCTGTTCCTTACTATCTGTTTAGCATCTTCTCAGGGTGGTCCATTCTCCTCCGCTCTACTCCCACTCCCCCCTTTTAAAATGACATTCTTTGAAAGTTCTAACCATTTATTTTGTCTTGTGTGAATATTAATGTCATTTTCTTGAGATTTAGAAAGACATTATACTTTAACTGAAACTGTTTAGGGAAAGAATTGTAATTTTGCCAATTTAGTTTTAGTCCCTGTGACATCATCATTTTTTCCTCCCATAAAAACTATCAGGAAGGAGGCAGTTTACCTAGGGTGGCTTGCATGCTCACATCCTGTTCATTTCTTAATTATGCTGGTTGAGGAGAGGAATGATCTTGTTTCTTCTCTCATTGTTTTTTCTCACTAGCCTAAAAACACCCATAAACTCACGGGCTGGAATTTAGGATTTCTCCTTGTTCTCATGGTACTCAGCACAGGGCTAGTTCCATATTGCTGCGTCCTTAATTACATAATTGAGACTTAGTTACATAATTGGTGCCTTCTCAATTTATTTTCCTCGTGTGGTCTTTGCATTAGTGCAGTTAACACTAACCTTTGGTTATAAGTGAGGTTGCCATACAGTATGTCCACCACATCAGAAACAGATCTTACGTATTCTATTTGATGTCTAGAGATAGAAGATAGTAGTAGAAGAGATGCAAAATGGCACCTCACCTAACTAAAGATCCATGAAGAATAAAAGAGAAATGAAGAAAACAATTGCTAAATCCCTTGAGAAATGCTTGCCTATTTCTGTTCCATGGTATGCCAAACTCTATAGGAATACCAACTTGTACATATTTTTCTGTACCTGAGCAGAAGCCATGTTCCTTCCCAGACAAAACCTAAGGAATGTCTTGGATGAAGGCCGCAACCATCGTACCAGTGTTATCTCGCCACCCAGCATCAGCCTGACCACACCCTAACTGACACTCAATAAAGAAGGGTTGTTTAATTCTGAAATGTATCAGTCAACAAGATACGAATCTATAGGGTTAGGTAAATTTAGGAAATTATTTAGGCTAGTAGTAGACTTTTAATTTTCATCCAACCCCTGTAACTACATCATTGCAAGGTATATCATGAGGACAAAAGTGAATCTATTTTCTGTAGTCATTTAGTGATTTATTTGGGTTTAGTTGATATTCTGTCTGGAGCAACTTGGGTGCTATCTTCATTTGATCATTTGAATAGACATTTTAAACATTGCCCAAATTACTATCAAACTGCATACCTCAGATCTTTATTTTAACCTACAGAATCTTTGTCATTTCTCCAAGCCACCAGTTAGCGTACAAGTTTCTTCTCTCGATACCCCATAAAAAGTTTTAGTTGATATTTACTTGATACTTACAAATTTCAGCATTGGAAGTTCTGAATACACTGCAGTGGTCCCTCAGTTAATGAGCTTAACTCATTCCACTATCCTGGAAAAGATGGCCACATTCATGTTTGTGTGGAGAAGGTGGCTGTGGTCATGTTCAGCCCCAATGCAGAGTTTGCAGACAATATCAGTCAAAATAGTAGTCATCCCTGCGTGACTCCAAATCTCAGTGGCTTTCAACAACAGAAAACAAAACTTCTCACTTTTGCTACCTGTCCACTGTGGGTTAGCTGCAGCTCTGCTGGCTGTTAACCTCCCATCTGTGGGTGGAGAACCTGTGCTTACATTGTTGCCTAGTGGCAGAGGTAAAAGAAGAGAGCAAGGTCAAATTTCATGCTTGCCTTCTTCCTGGGATGTTACATGACGTTTCTGCTAAAATTTTGAGTAAAAAGAAATCATATGGTTAAGCTGTTCTTGAAGTTATTTTACCCTGTTATTTTTTATGTTTATTTTCTGCAGCTCACCCGTATTGACTTGTATTTTTTCAGATCAAGACATTCATTGCTTTTGTGTTCAAAAGACAAACGGAAATGGCAGCATGTAGAAGAAAAGGCGGTAAATATCCAGTAACAACCTAGGTTTTCTTTCCTTTGTTAATTTTCTCAGAAAAGTCAGCCCTTGTTCACCTGCGTTTATCTCTTTAGTTTGAGAAGTATTTATTTTTGTTCCATGATCAAGAAAGTTGGGGGACCCTGAAACTAGTCTCTCACTAATCTTGAAGCCAGCCTGGCAGGCAGAGCCCTTGTCAGCTACTTAATGACGATAAGGACCCAGCTACTTGTCTTTCGCCTTTCTGTGAAGGGAGACACAAGCAGAATGGGCTGGCAGGAAAAGTTTCTTCCTGGGCTGATGTGTATTTTCCCACTGCCAACTTAGACAGGCTGATATCCTGCACCTCTCTTCCCTGGCGGAGACTCAGATCGGCAGGCCAGTTCCTGACAGGTACCTAAGTGCGCATTGATTACTTTCCTCTTTCCTGCTCATGTTTCTCACAGGGCTGGGCTCCACCTAAGATTTATCACTTTCATAAAGAAGAAAGCGTATTTATAGAGGGGAATGTCTTATGGAAAGAAGATGTGGGTAGAGTGGAGGATGAAATGAATCCTGGCTGTTGTCAGTCGCTAGTATTTATGGAACCACCCTCCGGATGCCAAGCTCATTGTGAGCAGTTATCAGAGAAATAAGTGCAACCCTCCTGCCTCCTACTGTAACCACCCTGTGGGCGAGGCATCATCCTGAAGATCATTTCTAATACCACTCTACCCATGGAATTCAGTTTTCTTTGGGCAATTAGCTGTATTCCTAGGAATAAAATACACCGATTAGACCCAGTGTAACGCAAAACTTCCCTTGTTGAGGAAAAAATAGTGTTCTAGAGATCTAGATCATATTTAAAAAGCACTTTTTAAAAAATCAAGAAATAGGTATCATCTCCCAGTTAAAATATTTACTAGTATATACTTCTAAAGTAAAAAGAGGGCCGAGGTTTTAGGTCAGTGGCACTGTGCCTGCCTGGCAAGCACAGTGTCTGAGTTCGATTCCCAGCATCCCCCTACCCCCCTGCAAAAATTAAAAATTAAAGTAAAAAGAAAGCATTAAAAAAAAATTCACTTCTAAGTGCCTGATTCACTGTTTTACAACACCAGAGGTATCAACTTTTAAAAATAATACCCAATGATTTTTTTTTTAAATGACAATGAATGCTAGAGCTTGCTCGATTTAAAAATGTCTCTTGCCACAGCATTCCACTTGGTCATATGCTGAGTTCAGTAAGAAAGGTCCTGCATGGTGGGTGCGGAGGCTGCCTTTCTTCTCTTGTCCTGGGCTTCCAACGTCTACCCTAAGGCGAGATTGCTTCCTCTCTGTTGTAACAAATATAATTTGCTGCGCTTGGTAGTTTGGTGCCTTAAAACTGCGAATCCATTGTGGAAGTGAAGACGTAAAGAATTATTGACTAAACTTTACCTATTTGAGTATCTTATGGCCCAAATTGTAAGAAAATTAAAACTGCTTTTAGATGTGGATTTAATGTTTTCTGAATTTAACTTTGCTGACTGTTGGTGAAAATCCACACCACATTTAGTAGGAGAACTGGACATTAAAAAGTGCGAGACTCTCTTTGGGGCTAGGGTAGCTTCTCCAGATCAGTTTTTTGTTTTTTGTTTTTTGTTTTAAAGCCCCCTTGTAGCTTCAGAGTCAATAATTGTCTTGAGTGGGGGAGATTTATGGTGCTTTTGAATTTTTAAGAGTACTCTTATTCATGCCTCCAGGTTAGTTGGTGTAAACATTACTTTTTAAGCCATATAATACTGAGAAAACACAGTATTTATATAGTTGGGTAGAGAGGGCGAGAGAACAGAATGGGAGTAAATCAAGGCTGTGGCATCAAGGACAAGCTGATTTTATAGTGACAAGTTACTTGATTGGGACAAGAACTTTACATGTCATTAGGTTTGCTTGGGACTAGTTGCCTTAAATTTTGAAAATGCATAGTTTTTTTTTCAAAGAGCGGACACATTAGTTCAAAATAGGTCTGCCATTTAAGATCATGTGAGCTACTACAATCATAATAACTTCGCAACATTCAGCAAGGGAAAAAAATATATGTGATGATCCATTAGTAATTTTACTTCACCTAACTACATAACACAGATTTTTCTCAGGTCTGCCTTACTATATTTTTAAAGGATTTCATATATAACATATTCCTATATTTAAATGTTGAAAGTTGTTGAAGCATTAAGAATTTGCTGTAGTTTCAAAATACCTTAAGTAGACTCTTATTTAGGTGGCATTGTTTTCTCCAAGTACATTTGGCCGGCCTCAGTTTTTTTCGTTGTATTATCAGTTGTCACGTTCAGGCCTAGGCAGGCCAGACATCTTTGTTCAGGCACACTGGTGTTTTCCCAAATGCTCCTCCTCCCTCTTACTCACTGTCCTTCACATCTCATTCTCTTCCCATTCTGTCTTGGAATGGGACATTAACTCTTTAATAGCCTATCAGCTAGAGCCTGACTTTGTGAACCAGTGTGTGCAACAACTAACTGCCTGAAAAGCAAAATGTGTCTGTGGCAGGATATAGCAGAGTGACTATGGTTATTAATACTTTACACAAGGGCCGGCGATTTAGCTCAGTGGTTCGGTGGCCTGCCTTGCAAGCGCAAGGTTCCAAGTTCAATCCCTGCTAACAAAAAAAAAAAAAAAAAAAAAAAAAAAATTAGCTACCAGGGTTGCAGAAAAACAGAAGCATCCTGAAGTTTGTATCAAGAAAGAACCCAATATCCCCTTTAAAAATGTAATTAAGAAAGATGTTTCCTTACCATAGCGTCAGTTTAAACTCATCTGTGAGTGAGAATAGGGGGCTTGCAGCTAGACAGGCCTCAGTTTAAAGCTTAAACCTTTCAGTAAGTCTACTTTATGCCCCTAGGCCATCTTTTTTGACATTTTAGTTCCTTAATTTCTAAATTGTAAGTGGCAGTGGAACCTGACATGAAACTCTGCTTGTGAGATTCTGTGGGTCTGGAATGTGCTCCACAGGTGTGCAGCCCGTGGGATTGTGAGTCCAGAGTGAACCCCAGGGCCTGCGCAGTCATCTTTGGCAGGAGACTTTCTGCAGAGAGCTCGAAGGGCCAGGTTGCCTCACAGAGGAAAAGACTGTTCCTGACATGAGAAAGATTTGTTGAAGCACATTTTTTAGTGTATTTTCCTAAGTCCTTATCACATAGGGCCTCCAGATAAGAACCACTAAGTATTTAGCTGTAAGCCAAAGATTGAGAATAGGAAATATTTAAATCTTTAGGAAATTGAGTCCAACAAAAATGCTGGCAAACAGCCTGCCTGAGGTAAAACAAACCTCGGGTCCAAGTTTCCCAGAAATACCGTGTAGGAACAAGGCAAACCTCAGACCTCCTTGTTTTTGTTTCACTTTGCCCTTTAATCCACAAGAAATGTGTGGGTTGGGTCCTCCGATGGTTATCGCTTTTAGAAATTGAGTATTTCTACATACCTTCTTGTGTAGGACTGTCTGGAAAAGACCACAACTTGTGGTCACTTTGTATAATTAGTGCTTTGGACCAGTTTATTCCTTGCCATGTTTGTTAACTGAAACAGCCCCCATAAAAATAGAGTTCCTCAAACATATTTAGAATAAAACGAATGAAACGTAGTTTCACTCCACCTCAGTCAAGCATGGACCTGTGCTCTAGAATGATCATCTCACAGTGTTTTGGCTTAGGGGTGATACTGTGTATTGGAAGACTGAAAGGTCAGGCCCCTTTGTAGTTCCCCTGTCTGCCTCAGTTCGTCTCCTGGGTTTAACCTGGTATCTACTACACCAAGAGATCATTCATTCAGATCATTCCTGCATTCCACTCAACTCTCTTTACCTCTCCTTTAATTTCTTGCATCCCAGGTGTACACACTGTTTCTCAGTCTCATTTCCCTGCTTATTCCTTTTGTTGTGTGCAGCTGGTTTTGCCTTTATTAATCTGTCTTTAGCTGATTTCTTCTTTCCTTAGCTTCCTCTGTTTCCCAGCCCATAATGAAGGTTGAGCCACAGAGAGTGAACTGCACTGACCACTATTCCTTAAACGTTTTCATCCTTAAATATCTGGAAGCAGAAGTGTGAGGTAGAGACTGTGCCTTAGTTCTTCCTGCCCTGTTGTTTATTTCATAGTTAGGTCCCCCGCCCCAGGGCATGTGAAAGGGAAGGTCAGGGCCTGCAAGAACCTAAGTCTCCATTCCCTCCTGCTCTCCTTCCTGAACAACAGCGGCCTGTCAGTGTCTTCACTGCTACTCAAGGCTTGGCATGGAAGCCCTTCTCTTCGGCCCCAGTTATGCCCAGCCATGTGCCTTCTGTCCCTTTTCATGCCAGGCATTGTGCTTGGCAAGGGTCTTGTTTCCCATCTGTCCCTGTTAATGAGCTTGACCCAAAGATACCAAGATGTTCCAGGCAACCTAGACATGTGTCTCTTCTCCCCACGGTGCCCCTAGTTGCTGCCGGTCGTCCTTGCCCGTAATCAACAGCCCTCTCATGTGGAAGCCCACGTCCTCTACACTGTCAGCTCCCACTGTGACATTTCCTCCTGTGGTCTCCCTTCGGTCTGTTGTGAAAACATCTGTGTCGCTTACCTTTCGGTTTTGTTGTTGTGAGTTTCAAGGAGGCCAAGAGTGCACTGTGAGAACGATGTGCTTTTTAAAGCATGAATACATTCTGTCCTGGATGTATTCTGATGGATTTTTTTTTGTGTGTTTTTTTCTTCCCCATCTATTTTCAGCAACAGTGGTAACCAGTCCTTAGGAATTTGGGACCAAAGAGGGCTGATGCTAGATTTTGGCAGTATTTATTTAGTTACTTGATAGGGATTTATGAAGGGCTGGACTTATGTACAGACCTCTTTTAAGTAAAATTTAAGAAATTAGAAAACTAAAACTAGAAAACTAAAGGAACATTCAGAATACGTGAAGAATAAATATAAGTATCTTATTAGGACAGTGCTCTTTTAGTATACAGAACACTTTAAAATATATTTACTTGTTTTATTTCATCAGTAAGC